GGCAAGGTACCATCCTTAGCCTCTTGCCCATCTCAGCGTCGATGGTGCCCTCCAATCAGGACACGGGACTATGTATAGAACCTTCAGATCTGATCCGCAGATTCACAAAAACATGCCCATACATATAATGCTCATTGGTTCGAGGCGTTTAGGTGTGTTGAGGGTTTTGTGCTCGAGTTCGCAGTCTAGCATCTAGGGTGTAGGTTTTTGGCAGTGGATTTCGCTTGAGCTCAGTTCAGTTGAGGCACATTTGGTCTTAGGGTTTTTAGTGCCACAGTTCGGGGTCTAGAATTTAAGGCTTAGGGTCTTGTGGGACTTTTCGCAGTTCATTGTTCCACTTCCTTGGCATCATTAAACCTCAGTTCAGTTCAAGCGTGTTGGGGTTTCAGCAGTACAAAGTGCACTTTCTTAACATCATTACACCTAAGTTCAGTTCAGGCACAGTAGGGTTTAGCGCTTTTAAGTGCCTTAGCTCAGGGCTATCGTTCAGGATCTAGGGTTTTGGGGAACTTGGGGCAGTATATATTTGACTCTTTCCTACTGTCGTGCAAGTTCATTGCAGGCTCATTAGGTTTATGGTTTTTAGGGCTAGAGTTCAGGGTCTGGCAATATGGTTTTAAGGTGTGGGCGGAATATCGGAAACGTCCTTAGTGTCATCTCTTCTCTATCTCTAATACTATAAAGGGAGAAGCGGGTCTCACGTGACGGGCCCAACAGAAACCAGGCGCCGCCACGCGGGGCCGCTCCGAGGTAGTGGGGCGAGGGGGAACCGGTGGCACGAAGAAGCCGACCCGGCGGATCTGAATCTATGCACCGCCACTTTTTTTTTCACGCGGCGGGTCTGAATCTGTCACGCAAGGTCGCGAAGATGCACCGCCACTTTTTTGTTTTCCTGAGTCGTGAGCCCGTCGTCGCATTTTTTTTTTTTTCAGCTGCTTGCTGAGCGCCCGCTGGCGGCCCACTGCGCGAGCGCTTACTGCATGGCTTGATGTATGTAAAGGGCGCAGGGGGGGCGGGAGGCCGACGCGCGGACAAACAAAGGGAGCGGGCAAACCTCGGCAGGCGGTAACGGGAAGGAGAGGAGGGTGCGAGGGTGCGACGAAACGGGGGTGTAGGAGCGTAGGACGAACGAACCGCGAGCAGTGAGAAGGACGGGGGGGGGCGGAGAGAGAGAGAGAGAGAGAGAG